GAGCAGCCTGAGAACCAAGAACACGGCAGCGGATAACTGCAGAAGACACCGTGATGGGACGTCCAGACTGCCCCACAGGACACAGGAGGCGGCTTGGCTGCAGGGGGCGCTCAGCACCCACAGAAGATAGGAACAGCCCAGGGGCAGGGGCAGGTGCAGTCCAAGGGCTGCTTTCCTGTCGGGATCTGTGGCTCTTCTGCATCAAAAGCATTGTCCTGGGGACCTCTCTGTGTTTATGGTTCTCTGCCTACCACTGAGGCCTCTGGATTGGAAAAGTTCATTATTAGAAAAAAAAAAATTCTTGTATGCCCCTAAGGACTGCATCACTAATGGAGGCAGAATATGTCACAGGAGGCTGGGGGGCTGTGGAAACTGTGGGATATGGGTTCAGAAATGATGAAAAAGACAAAATTCAGAGAAGTCTGATAAAACCGCCTAATTGCCTTGTGATCCACTCTAAGTGTAGTACAGCCACTGATGGCTCCCTGAGCCAAACCCGCCCATCAGGGATCCGTCCCCTTTCCCGGCAGCAGACGCGCCTCAGTGTCTCCACTGTGTGTAGTCACCGCCTGGAGGAGCTCACAGGACACGTGTCTTTGCATTAACGTGTCACTATCAGAGCTGGGCGCCTGGTCTATGGGTTCCCTGATGGTGGAGAAGTGGGAGGTGCAGTCTCAGGGCCAACACTCTGCCCATGCATTTTTATATAGAAACCATGATTTTATTGCTTCTCTCGGATGACAGAGGAGCAAGAAGACAATCTTCAAACAACTGCAATGTCCACATTTCTCCTGAACACATGCATTATGTCTCAATTCTGAGTGTGGATTTAGCAGAGCATTGCCTTTCTCATAAGAAACTGTTCAATCCCAGCTGAGACCACATGGTTATCACCCTCCTTGGTTTTCGTTCAGCTGCAGAGATCTTGAGTAGAGCAAATTTGGTCCTTTCCACACACTAAGTCTCACCTTCCTCAGAGAAAAAGCAGAGATTTATCCAAGTGTGTCTGAGGTGGGAGCTGCTTCTCCACACCTTAGAGCTTGCTGAGACCCCCAAGGGCAGCTTTATAGAGTCAGGTGTGTCTCCATGTGGGGTAGCTCAGCTGCCAGTGATTGCTGCTCAGTTAGAACCGTGGGTTCAGAATTAGGACATTTAGGTTATCATGCCTCAAAAATTACCATCATTATAGATAGAAATAATAATACAACACCAATTGTTGCCACATTTATTATTATTATTGGAGTATACCTTTGGAGGACAAAATTGTTACCACAAATCTGCATAAATCTAGTGTCAGAATCTCCTGAAATGGTCTAGAACACTTGCAAACTGCATAGAAGCAGATGCTTCTTTTTTCTATACTGGTGTATTTTGGATTGATGGCAGTTTGTCCAGAACCTGTGAGCACCAACAACTGTGTTTCATGCCCTTCCTTAGGTTCTGTGACAAGGAATGCTATCAGAACCTGGCAGATTGAGACAACTTTGAACAATGTCAGAGAAATCATATGTAATTGCTTCTAAATTTCAGTTTTATCAATTCTAATGCTTTCTCTATTATTTCAGATCTTGGTTATTAAAGGATTCTCGCTTTTTCTCTTAATCTAGCTAAGAATTTGTCTCTTTTATTTTTTTAGAAAAAAACTTTTAGATTTGTTGATTTTTCTACAGCCTCATAAAGTCTGTTTTTTGCTTATTTCATTTACTCTAAAGCCTCATAAGCTTTAGACATGCAGATAGAGAACTTGTTTGTAAATGCCGTATTTTTGTTAGACTCAGCTGAGCATGTCAGGAAGCCCCCTGAGGGTTCTGGGGACTGAGTGTGGCTCCCACACTGGACAAGGATGAGAACCTCCAAGCTTTGGGGATGGGAGACAGGCAGGGCAGTGTGAGGGAGGAGGGTGGCCGGCAGCGCCGCGTTTCTTCCCCTGGCAGCACCACTTATGTCCATCCTCACTCGGGGATTCAGTCATTTCTGTCCAGGTAGGAACATCAGTTAACTTCATCTTTGATAGACAGATGGGAGCCCAAGACAGAGGCTTGTCAGTCGCCATTTCTGTGCCTGCTCCCTTGGGAATGTCCGCATTTCTTATGCTCTGTCCTGGGTCTATACCCCGATGGCTCCCTGCTCCATGACACCGCCTGTGCCTGTGCATGGCCCCTGCCCACACCCTCCGTGAAACATCCTCTTGGCTCAGGAAGAGCCCCCTGCCTTGTCTTCCTCCTGCCACTGGTCCACATTCTTGTCCATCCACAGGCTCCCAGCAGCGCCACCCATCCACACTGACCCTCCACGGGGTCAGACCTTGTCCACCACTTCCTCTATGCTTTCTTCTGAGCCTTTTATCCCAGCAGCCTGTTTCCATCTCGCCTGGGCTTGTGTACAGGAAAGGTTTACTGAGCAGGCTTGGGGTGTTCAAACCCTGAACATTCCTGAAAATGTCCTTTCTCAAGCCAGATCCACATTCAGCTCCTGGGAGATGATATCTGCTTTTCTGGCATACTCCTCATGGTAACATTTTTGAAACCACTTTATTAAGGTAAGGTTTACATCTATGAAACAATACATTATTTAACATGCTTACCTCATTGAGTTTAGAGTAAGTGTAAACCTGCAAAGTTATTATCACGGTCAAGGTTGTAACAACAGCAATCACTTCTAAAACATTCCTGTATTCCCATTATTATTATTTAAAAAGTATTTATGTGTGTGTGTGTGTGTGTGTGTGTGTGTGTGTGTGTGTGTATGCACCCTGGGTGCACAGTATCCTAGCTGTTTCCATAATGACTTATGCTGAGTGCCCATCATTGCTGAAGGACCTCTTGTCTGAGTGCTGAAGGTCAGGTATGCAGGTGCCACACACATCTGTGATGGGTCCCAATAAACAGCACTGGGCACCAGCAATCAGGTGAGCTTCCCTGTGAACAATGCCTCACATGTGCTGTCACTCGTCACCGCTGGGAGAATTGGGGACAAGAGACTCCTCAGGGAAAGAACACCTGGGAGCTCGTGCCTGGATTCTCAGAACCTTCCTCCTGAAGCATTAGTTCATTAAAATTCATATTCCTCTGCTAGAGTAAAGCTGTACCCATGAGAATCACAGCTTGTCCTGACTCTTTTATTTTTACTGACTATGGGGCCTGAGGATAATTTTGCGACACTCAACACAATTACATCAGAGGTGGAAATTGCTAGAAAGCCCCTGACAACTGACATGGCTAGAACATTGTTTATAATATCAAAGGATGAGGAAGGGTGGCACAAAAGACATCCAATGCCCAGATGGCTACAGAATCTCATGGCATGAGATGTCATGTGTGCTCCAGTAAGTAGCAGGAAGAAAAAGTAATCCATGGAAATTTGAAATGATAGACAGAGCTCCCTAGGAGGTGATCCCTGAATAAGGAAAATAAAATAATTAAGATAAACCTGACTGTACAATTCATATCTGTGATAGCTAAAATGAAATACAAAGATGCTGCCTCCAGCCCTGCACTGTGCCCTGTGAGCCAAGGCTGCTGGACTCCCATTCACCACCAAAAGGTATAGTTGCTCATAATAAACACACGCAACACATGAAATAGCCACACAGAAGGTAGCCCAGGGGTTGGGCTGGGCAGGGGAATCCACTCAACAACTAGAACAGGGAGGATAGTGTGGAAAGTGGCATCATTTGTGATATGATTGGTATCATTAGTTGATATCATCAGATTGTGAACAGCATTAGCCAGTGGACTGAGAGTGGCTGACGTAGCAGATTCTCTTTGGCTTTGTGTGCTATAGAAGGGAGGGGCATGTCTGGGAGGAGGCTGGATCCACGGCTCAAAACAGTAACATCACAGTTGACTTCAGCTGATCCCAACCTCCAGTAGGATGCTTTGGATGGGACAGCTTCCCTGGTGCACTGGATTCCAGATTGTGTAAAGTTTCTCTGCCCTGAGAATCAGCTTTCCTTTACTTTCTTTGAAATACAAAGTGGGCTCTCCAGATGGGGAGGCTGATGCTGCGCATTCTGCATAACCTGCTGCTGGGAGTTTCTGTTGATGCTGACGGTCATTGCTTTACCTGCACCTTACACAGGTCATGGCCTGTGCTGCGGTAAAGAGAAGTCCTTCTGCTTCTGCTCCCCAGGTACAATTCTCTTGCTTAATCTTGCAAATATTTTAGAACCTGTGTAGTTTGTGTTGCCTTAGCTTTTCATTTGGATCAAAAGATGCTAAGGAAGTGAAAGTGGTTCACAAGAAAACGGGGCAGAAACAGGGGATAGTTAAGGGCCTCCTCCAAGCAATGCAGGTAACACAAAATAAAAGGTAGAGAATGAAAGAACTCAACAGGAAGGAGCTGGGGTTGACACAAAGGACTTAAAACAGCACTACCAGGAGTTGGGTGTAGCAATGGGAATCCCTTCAGCAATTCCGAGACGTAAACAAGTTTCCCTATTCATGTTAAATTAGCAGAGTGTAAAATCTAGAAGACAAAATGACCAGGAAAGATGTGTGATTTTGCATGGGTGAAGGTCTGACAAGTTAATCAAGTCGAGGACTGTTGAGGGCCTGGGGTGGTCCTGTCCTTGTTGGGGGCCCAGGCCATAGTCACAGTCATGGGAAATTGCCGGGGAATAGAGAGTAGTTTTTTGGTTGTTCTTGTTATCAGTCATATGTGCATTTGAATTTTGTCTTCATGGCTTCTTCTGGCTCTATTTCTAATTTTTAAATACACATAATTTCATCCAGATTTGCAACTTTCCTGGTGTCACAGAGAAGGGTGGAAGAAGGGAGGCCCTGGTATGGCTCTTCCAGTAGCACAGACAAGCGTGGGAGGGGCACGAAGTGGTGTAAGGAATTACTGAGACCTTATTCTGCCTCTCCCAGGAGGCGCAGGTCCGCCTTTTGTCTGCAATTGCATTTCTGGGTTATAAACCCTGTAGACTCTTCCCTTCAGGCCAGGGCGTCAACTATGCAAATTCAAGTGTGGGCTCCCCACTTAAACCCAGGGATCCCCTCCACAGTGTGTCTCCCTCACCGCCCAGCTGGGATCTCAGTGCTTCCTTTCCTGTCTTCCTCCAGGATGGGGTCAACCACTGTCCTCGCCCTCCTCCTGGCTGTTCTCCAAGGTCAGTCCTGCCCAGGGTTTGAGGTCACAGAGAAGAAGGGTTTGAGGGCACAGGGAGTCCCTGATTCAAATTTCGTGTCTCCCACACAGGTGTCTGTGCCGAGGTGCAGCTGGTGCAGTCTGGAGCAGAGGTGAAAAGGCCCGGGGAGTCTCTGAAGATCTCCTGTAAGGCTTCTGGCTTTACTGGCAACTGGATTGGCTGGGTGCGACAGATGCCCGGGAAAGGCCTGGAGTGGATGGGGATGATTGATCTTCGTGATTCTGAAACCAGATACAGCCCGTCCTTCCAAGGCCAAGTCACCATCTCAGCCGACAAGTCCACCAGCACCGCCTACCTGCAGTGGAGCAGCCTGAAGTCCTCGGACGCTGCCACGTATTACTGTGCGAGAGACACAGTGTGAGAAAACAGCACTGAGCCCATCTAAAACCCTCCACAGGGCAGGTGCAGAGTGAGCTGCTAGAGACACCTCCCCAGGGCCCCCCTCTCCATTCCCCCCGGGGAGGAATCACTGGCTGTTTGTGTCCTCAGGAGCGAGAACCAGAGAACAACATGGGAGGGTTCCTAGCCCCTACGGCAACAGGGGGACCTGCTCCTAGGAGTGGATTCTCTGAAGGGCTCCCACTGTGTGTTGTAGAAGTGAGATGGTGTATATTACATGGTTAACATCAAAAGCCTGCCTAATAGGCATCTCTTGAATGTGACAGTCTTTTGTTGAGTGAAGATTTTACACAGTTAATCATTGCTGGCTTGCTTTTCTCTCTCCTATCCTCTCTCACTCCCTCCTTTTATTTCCTGCTTAATTCTCCCAAACCATTTAATCCCTTTTTGGACTATTAGTAGGTCCTCTTTTTTTGGTTGTTTTTGTTGTTGTTTCCTCTCAATAGTATGTAGTGAACAGTTCATTTTGTGCCATTTCATAAGTTTTTGGGTATGATAAAGACTTCGTTCATGAAAATTCAATAAATTAAAATAAATAGATAAATTTTTAAAAACATACAACCTATCAAAACTGAACCATTAAGAAATAAAAAATCTGGGCTGGGTGTGGTGGCTTATGCCTGTAATCCCAGCACTTTGAGAAGCTGAGACAGGTGGATCACCTGAAGTCAGGAACTTGAGATCAGCCTGGCCAATAGGGTGAAACCCCACCTTCACTAAAAATACAGAAATGAGCTGGACATGGTGGCACTCCCCTGTAATCTCAGCTACATGGGAGACTGAGGCATGAGAATCGCTTGAACCCAGGATGCGGAGGTTGCAATGAGCTGAGATCACATCACTGCACTCTGGCCTGTGAGTGAGACTCTGTCTCAAAACAAAATCTCAACAGACCAATGAGTAAAGAAACTGAGTCATTGATTTTTTAAACATCTCAAAACAAAGAAAAATCAAGAACTTGATGATTTCACTACTGAATTTTATCAAATGTTAAAAAAAAACTAGGATTTCTACTCAAATTTCCAACAAAATAAAGAGGAAATAATACATCCCAACTTATTTTGGAAGGCCCTATGTCCAAAGCAAGGAAAAGACACAAGTAAATAAAACTGCAGACCAGTATCCCTGATTCACACAGCTTCAAAAACTCTCAAAGTAATGGCAAACAAAATTCAACAGAACGTTAAAAATGTAATTCACCATGAACAGGTGTGGTTTACTTCTACGATGCAATGAAGTTTCAACCTGTACAGACAAATGTCATAGATCAAATTAAAATATTGAAGGACTAAAACTGTATGTTCATGTCGATAGACGCAGAAAGAGCCTCTGACAAAATTGACCACAGTCTCATTATAAAAGCCTGAACAAATTATGCATAAAAGGTATATACCTCAACACAATAAAGGCCACATATAACAAGCCCATATCTAACATTATACTCAATGATGAAAATTGTATTTCCTCTAGGACTAGAAAGTAGACAAGATGCTCACTATCACCAATATTACTCAATATAGCACTGGGGGAGCCAGGGAGAATAATTAGGCAATAACAAAAAATAGAAGTCATCCATATCATAATGAATACATTTAAAACATAATTTTTACATATTATATGTCCTTTTTTATACAAAGCTCTAAAGACTCCACCAAAAAGGTTGGAACTAATGAAGATATTCAGTGAATTTGCAGAATACAAAATCAAACTTATACTTAAAGATGGCAAGTTAGTGGCATTGCTAGCACGGAACACAGACCACCAACCATGGAGTCCCTGCTGAGCTGCGTTTTCCTTGTTACAGTTTTGAAAGGTAATTCACGGAGAACTGGAGACACTGAGTGTGAGGGTACATGAGTGAGGGGAACAGTGGGTATGTGTGGCAGTTAATGACAAGGGTGTCTCTGTGTTTGCAGGTGTCCAGAGTGAGGTGCAGCTGGTGGAGTCTCGGGGAGGCTTGGTCCAGCCTGGGGGGTCCCTGAGACTCTCCTGTGCGGCCTCTGGATTCACCTTCAGTAACTACTAGATGCACTGGGTCCGCCAGGCTCCAGGGAAGGGGCTGGAGTGGGTTGGACAAATTAATCCTAATGGAGGTAGCACATACTACGCAGACTCCGTGAAGGGCCGATTCACCATCTCCAGAGACAACGCCAAGAACTCGCTGTATCTGCAGATGAGCAGCCTGAGAGCCGAGGACACGGCCGTGTATTACTGTGCGAGACACAGTGAGGGGAGGCCCGTGTGAGCCCGGACACAAACCTCCTGCGGGGGCGCGCGGGACCACCGAGGACAGGACAGGTCCCAGGAGCAGGTGCAGGGGTAGGGTCCTCTTTCTCAGAGGCAAGAAGCGGATTTCTTTTTGCAGGACTCTGGAGTCCTATAAGTTTACAGTATTTTATTATTTTTAGTTATAATAGATTTACAATATACATATATAATATTTTCAATGATATTTGTGTTTTTGTAATTTTTAAATTTATATGCAGGGGTATTTTAAAGATATATACCTTCAAGAAATAATTCTTCCCAATTATTTGCACTTATTCTTCTAGACCTTTATTAACATCTGTTGATATCAGCAACTACATAGCTATAGGGACATAAATTTACATCGATAGACATATATGCAAATACACAAACCTATGCATACACGTGTAGTAATTTATATTTATCATTATAATAGAACAATTCTAAAGTATGTCCTAAAGAATCAGCCTTAATGATAAACTACATATACATTGTTAGAGTTATCTATAATTGATTTCAATGATTCTCTATGGTTTACATAAATTGATGTCTATTTGTAAGTTTAAACATAATGTATTGGTCATTTACAAATAGTCAAGAACAAATTTCAAATGTTCTAGTCACAAAAATGATAAAGATTTGTAAATTTGAGGTATGAATACACCTCAAAAATAGAAAAAGTAGTCACTACCAAAAAAGGTCTATAATGTTACATTCCATTTATATGTTCAAAACAGAAAAATATGGATTTACAGTGCCAGAAATCAAAACACTTCCCATGCAGGAGTGAACCACAGGCACAGGGAGGTAATAGACGTGTCGATTAGCTTGATTCAGTTATATTAACAAATTATGACATAGCTTTGTTCCCCATAAATATATACAATCAAAATTTCCCAATTTTCAATGAAACTTTAATTATATTTTTTAATCCGTCTTGGGTCATGAATTTTTTTGTACCCATCCAGATCTGATTGGATTGTCCTGAGTAACTCATCCATGCTCCTGTTTCTTCAAGGGGCAGAATCAGAAAAACCATGTGTATTCACAGGATGTGGAGCCTCTCTCTCCTTGGGTTGGGTCACCTCCTCAAAATTACAGGAATCTTCAGTTTTCTCAACGTTCTGCTGCACCACATAAACACACAAACACTTCATTTTATTATGTTTTGCTTTAATTTTTCAAAACAACATGAACTTGATAATTTTAACAATAAACACGTTACAACCTACTATACATGAGACTCTTCCTATGGTTCAAGGTTTCTTCTCAGGACTTTATTTGTATTATATATTTTCAATTTCTTTCTGATATAGGATGTTGATGTCTCTTTATTACAGATTATTCTTTTATCTCTTAAAATTAATTTTCCAAAGACCCACTCAAAATCAGAGTATTATTAGAACTTTGAGGTGTAATCATTGAACCAACATTGAGGATAAATTTCACTTAGTTTACATGTTTTCAAATATTCTTTTCTCTCTAAACGTTGTTCTCAGGTGTAATATAACAAAAAACAGTAATCTACAGTTATGACACAGGCTAAAATCTTGTATAAATAATTTAAAGACATTTGATAGGAAAAAATAATACGTATTCATCATATGTCTTGACTACTTTTTTTCTCTATGAAATGTATGCTTATTAACTTTTAAGTTATAGATGTTATCCTTATCTTTTCGGTTTCTGGAATTTAATTTTAGTAGGTATACTAGAATGTACTTTATTAATTCATGTTCATATTAATGTTCATATTTTGGATAAGATTTTAATGTTATTTTCATTATTTGCTGAATTTTAAAGTATTTTATACTTTTTTATTTCATGTTTTACAAGATAAAATGTATATATAAGAAGAATGCATAGATCTGAAATGTACCACTAGAGAGTTTCTGTCAAATGTGAGTACCCTTGTCCCGAACACCTAAGGTGCCTGAAGAGCAAGTCCATCCCCCAAACACGGGTCTTTCCCTGTGCTTGCAGTCAACACCTACCTGGAGAAGTGTTTTGATTTCTGACACTATGGATCCATGTTTTTCAGTTTTCAACTTCATATAAATAGAATCTAACATTATAGGCATTTTTGGTAAGACTCTACTTTTATATTGGTAAGAGAACCCTTTTATTTTAATAAAATAGAGACACACACAGAGAGAGAAAGGACAGAGATTTTATATCTGAGTCACTACATTAAGTATATACATGACAATATATTGATCTATTTTTTGTCAGTGAACTTTAATTTTGTTTCCAGTTTATGAGTATTATAAGCAAAGCTGTTACAAATACCTTAGTGTAAGTTTTTCTATGTTGCCTTATTTTTACTGAGAAAATATGAAGTATGCATTTCTTGATCATAAGAGTTAGTTTAAATTTTTCAGTTGTATTGTGGTATAATAGAAAAAAATATAAATGTGTATGTTTAAGGTGAACCACTGTATGTTTTCATGATGTATCATTCCATTCTCACATTACTATAAAGAAATGCATGAGACTAATTTGGAAAAAAAAAAGATGTTTAATTGACTCACAGTTCTGCAGGCTGTACAGGAAGTGTAGCAGCTTCTCCTACTGGGGAGACTCAGGATAGAATCACAGAAGAGGACAAAGGGGAGCAGGCACATCACATGGCCAGAGCAGGAGCCACAGGAAGGAGGGGCAGGCATCTACACACTGTTAGACAACCAGGAAAAATTGCTACCTAAATTTAAAGGTCTACATCATTCAGAATTCCCTGCATGACAGGCTGACACAAGGAAATCCAACCGCACAGAGGCTCCATAATAACCCTTACAGTTCTTTCAGGGAAGAAATAATCTCCAAGTGAAGTAAGTCAGTAAAGCTGCTCTGAGCTACAGTAAAAATTGGATTGGGCCCAGATTTGTCTGAGTGCAATGTGATTATTATACTCAGCTGCTGCTCCAATATGGCCTGAGCCTGAATAATTTTCTTCCCATTTATTTATTTTATTGCTTTTTAGGTTTTGGGGTACATGTGAACAACATGCAAGATTGTTGCATAGGTACACACGTGGTAGTGTGATTTGCTGCCTTCTCCCCATCACCTATATCTGGCATTTCTCCCTATGCTATCTCTCCCCAACTCCCCGCCCCCCACTGACCCTCCCCTATTTCCCCCCAACAGACCCAAGTGTGTAGTGCTTCCCTCCCTGTGTCTGTGTGTTCTCATTGTTCAACACCCGCCTATGAGTGAGAATATGCGGTATTTGATCTTTTGTTCTTGTGTCAGTTTGCTGAGAATGATGGTTTCCAGGTTCATCCATGTCCCTACAAAGGACACAAACTCATCGTTTTTGATGGCTGCATAGTATTCCATGGTGTATATGTGCCACATTTTCCCTGTCCCAAACAAGCCCATTCAAAAGTGGGCAAAGGATATGAACAGATACTTTACAAAGGAAGGCATACATGAGGCCAACAAACATATGAAAAAATGCTCATCATCACTGGTCATCAGAGAAATGCAAATCAAAACTACATTGAGATACCATCTCACGCCAGTTAGAATGGCGATCATTAAAAAACCTAGAGACAACAGATGCTGGAGAGGATGTGGAGAAATAGTAACACTTTTACACTGTTGGTGGGAGTGTAAATTAGTTCAAGCATTGTGGAAGACAGTGTGGTGATTCCTCAAGTACCTAGAAATAGAAATTCCATTTTACCCAGCAATCCCATTACTGGGTATATATCCAAAGGATTATAAATCATTCTATTATAAGGACACGTGCACACAAATGTTCATTGCAGCACTGTTTACAGTAGCAAAGACCTGGAAGCAACTCATATAATTTTTGGTGAAATGCCTTTCCTGATAGTTGGTTCATTGTTAACTGCATTGTTTTCTTTTATTAGTTTTAAATATATGTGCATATTTCTTATAAAAGTAATTTAAATAATTAAAATAATTCATTTAACAAATATGTGAGCTAGATGTATAAATAATGCTAAACATCACTAATCATCAGGGAGATGAAAATTAAAACTGCAATGACACATCTTAAACCCATCAGAATGGCTATTATTAAGAGCCAAAAATAGCAGTTACTTGAGGACCGAAGGCAAAGGGAACTCTCAGTCACTGTTGTTGAGGATGTAGATGAGTACAGCCTTTATGGAAAAGAGTGCGGAGATTTTTCAAAGAAATAAAAGTAGAACTACCTTTGATTCAATAACCCTAATACTGGGTAACTATCCAAAGGAAAAATAAATGGTTACATCAGAGTAATAACCAGACTTTTGTTTTCCTATATAACTATTCACAATAGCACAGACACCAACCTAAGGAATTAACCTGTGTCTAATAACAGATAATTTTATAAAGAAAATGTTACATATATATACAATTAAATACTTTCCAGCCATATTAAGGAATGGAATCATGTCTTTCACAGCTACGTGGATGGACTCGAGGTCATTATTTTAAGTGAAATAACTAAGAAACAGAACGGTACACACCACGTTATCACTTTTAAATGGCAGCTAAGTATTATGTGCACAGGGATATAGAGAAAGAAATGATGGACATTGGAGACTCAATGATGGGAGAGTAGAAGGTGGGAGAGTGGTGATAAATTACTTAATGAGTACGATGTACATTATTTGGATCATGTACACATTAAATCCAAGACTACAATGCAGTATATATGTAACAAAATTGCAGTCACTCCCCATAAATGTGTGCATATAAAAACTAATATAATTAAAATATGAAATTAACAGTTGACCAATAATCTTGAAAATTAAAACTTGTGATCAATAAATGAAAATAATATTAGTTGAACTTGATCAAATTTTAAAAAATTTTCTACTCACGTGACTATCAAGAAAATCAGGATGAGCTTCAGAGTAGAAAATATTTGCAAATCACCTATTACCAACGTAATCATGATAAGAATCTGCAAACTCAACAGCAAAAAGAAGCCATCTGTTTATAAAATAGGCAAATGTTTGTGCAAACTTTTTATCAAAGAATATG